TGCACTCTGTTGTGTTACATGGCTTTGTTGCGTAACTACATTCTGATGTGTGATTGGACTATGAGTGCCTGCATTCTGTTGTGTGACTGAAATCTGTTGCGTGACTACATTCTGTTGTGTGATTGGACTATGAGTGCCTGCATTCTGTTGTGTGACTGAAATCTGTTGCGTGACTACATTCTGTTGTGTGATTGGACTATGAGTGACTGCATTCTGTTGTGTGACTGGACTCTGTTGCGTGACTGCATTCTGTTGCGTCCATGGTGTTGGATGCGGTGTTAAGATGGCCTTGTCTTCATATTTTCCAGGAGCACCATCTGGTACAATAGGTAGAAATGTTTTGTCATATAATGGTATATTTAGGTCCGGAAGTATTCCTCTACCATCATTGTGGTGTTGGAGGCCAGAAACATTCTGGACAACCGTGACATTCACAGATTTTGCTACAACTGGTACAAAACTTTTCCTGTAAAATGGTATTCTCTGTTGTGGCGCGTCTTCAAAGCCTCCTTGGAATGCTTTTGAATCAGCTATCTTWGAATCACTTTGACTTTGCCCAGGAATAGGGCGTCCTATAATTTGAGATTTAACACCAACGGAACCCGTTATCATGGGTTTTCTCAAAATATTCGGTTCGTTTGTTATGAATTGGGAAAAAGTATTATCTGGCATTTTGATAGAAGACTGGTTACGATTCTGTATATTTTCCAGCGCATTATCGTTTCTGACTCGTTGCTCCCTGCTTTGTGGAAATGGAAGCTGTTGATGTTGAAGAGGGGTACCAGTCAATGTGTAAGGAGTTGGTGCAAGAGCGCCGTTGACGATGGAAGCTTTGGCTGGAGTCCCTTTTGAGGAAAAATGGTTTCGAATGAATAAGATAAAAAAAAATTCTTTATTTATTAATATACCATGCTGACACGTAAGTTTATAGCAATAGTACTAACCTTTCAAATAATTCCGAGCCCCTGTTCGTACACTAGCGCCTTGCATTTGTTTATTTTGATCCACGCTGTTTCCATTAGACGCCGTGCTAAAGCCTTTATACATGTTGGTAGTTAATGGGGACTGCGTCGATATAGAACTCCTCAAGGAAGACTGGACTTGGGGCAAAGTGTCCATCCTTGGTGCCCAGGTCTTTCGATGGGAAGAGGTTGAGGTTGGCAAGGGAATGGGTTGAGGTTGAGCAGGAGAAATACTCGTTTGTCCCTGCAGTCTTCTTGGAGTGACTTCACTGTTTATGGATTGCGTCTGTGATCCTATTGGTACATTTTCATTGGTTTGTTGAGCTCTGATTGATAAGTTGTAATTATTTGATTGAGGCGTTGTTATTATTGGCACAAATTTCGATGGACCACGCGTTGCTGTTTGGCCAATGCTGTTTGTCTGAGCCTCCGTTCCTGCCGGAACAAGGAAATTATTGGATTGAGTCTGCGCATTTATTGGTGATTGAGTTCTCATCTGCAAGTTGTAATTATTTGATTGAGGCGTTGTTCTTATTGGCACAAGTTTCGATGGACCACGTGTTCCAGTTTGTTCAAAGTTGTTTGACTGAGTCTCCGTTCCTGCCGGAACAAGGAAATTATTAGATTGAGTCTGCACATTTATTGGTGTTTGCGTTGCCATTTGCAAGTGGTGATTATTTGAAAGACCCTTCGATCCTATTGGCTCGTGATAATTATTTAATTGAGCCTGCGGTGTTTTTGGTACGTGGTAATTATTTGGCTGAGCCGGAATTCTTATTGACGGTATGTGATTATCGACACGTTGAGCCTGTGTTCCTTGTGGTGTGAGGCTGTTGTTGCCATGGTTCTCATTCTTCAGTGTCTGTGTTTCCTTCTCTATTTCTTGACGAATTTGATAAGCGCTCTTTGCTTTTTCGATGTAATCAAAAAGATGATGAAACCTGCAGACATGGGAAAATGATGCATTGCTTAATAATAATAAATAATAACAATAATAACAGCTTATATATACAACATTTCCATTTAAGATGTCTCTTAAAAGGACATGGTCCACCAGCATTCAATGCGGTCGTGTTTTAGATTTTTCATATGGAAAATGAGGTGACTTCGAATATCCATTAGCAATCCGTTTCCATCCATCGRTTTAAAGGCCGAATCTTACAATATCTTCATTCATAGAGCATAAAGGGATAATAAACAGTAAGTTTTTGCTTATATAAATATGTATTTTTATGTTCAAACATAAACAAAAGCTCGAAAGAGATCAATGTTGGCACAGTGGTGGTAGTCCTGCGTTTCAACAGACCGGGCACACATCTTACTTATCTTTAATCTTGTTAAGGAATGCAGTCATGAATCTCACATGTTTTAAAATTTCTCCACCCTTTTTTCGACATCATCAATTCAAAGCTTCAAAAATCTCACTACTTGGTTTCGCCTTACCTATCTTCAGGGTCGGTAGCACTTGTGTAAGGTGTTTTGGGTATCCCTCTCTGGTTATCAATGATACGTTTTGTAATCTCCTGTCTTTTCTGCGCCAGTTCGTTGCTAATGGAGTCAAGTGTATTGCTGGAAAAATGAAAACATGAATGAGACATTTATTGACATTGTACATTTGAACACCGCATGTGCCGATGGTCAGTACTACACTAGATTGATAATCAAGGAGTGGAGTTTGTGGAATTTCGTAGAAAGACCTAAAGCTTTTGTGCCGCGCTCACAATTAACCTCAAAACAGGGCTTCAGTTCGACAATGAACCTCGACAGTCCATCATTCTAGATGTCTTTTATAATTTAGTAAGCTATCAAACGATGAAAACACGAGGCCGAGTAGAGTGTACTGAAGAGTTGATAATCCATGAGACCGCACTCTATCAACTTGCAGCCACCAGGTCAAATAGTAAACCTGTTTTCGACTTTTTTCCCTTCTCGATCTCGACCACAGCCATGGTATATCACGAATAGACAATAGTCTAACAGCCAATCAGAATGCTTAAGAGAGCGTGTCTTCACATACCTATTGTCGGGTACACAGTCAGGCCACGGTAACATGTGACCAACGGGATATGTAAACCATTCCCCGGTGACCGGACCGCACATGTACACTACAGCAGGCTTGGTTGCAAAGCGGTATCCAGGGTGACATTCGGGCGAACAAAACAAGTGAAATAGACTGTCACACGTGACATAGCCATTCTTTGGCTTCTCGAACGATTTGCAGCGTGGATTTCCATCTGTGGTCATTGATAAAGGGAGTACTAGTTATATTGTGATTAGTGTGATGGTAATGATAACAAAGAAGCAAGAATAATTCACTGCTGTAAAATGAGTCATATTTTTTACTGACACACTCCACAAACTCAGTCAAAATGTACTGACGAAGCTCTTGAAGCAAAGACAAATACAAAGCAAAACTATTAGCAAAATGTCTCAATAGAGAAGGAGCTAAAAGAAGCAAAACAAAATAATAAACAAAACGAATTTTAATCGCAAACCAGAACAAAACAGCAACATTAATACCAACAACAACAACAACAACAACAACAACAACAACAAAATATTTGTAACTCATTGAGTTTTGACTCACTAAAAATCAAAATTACAATTAAAGAAATAATAGTTAAAATCTTAAACAGAAAATGTGGTTTATACTTACTCGTGACAGCAGTCAAAGGACCCAGTAGAAAAAACACTTTGAACAGCTGAAGACCCATCGTCAATTCTATACACACGTACACCAAATTATCTTCATGTTTGTATGCTATCCCTGCTTGAACGTACAGTAGTGCTGTGGTGTAGTATCATTCCCTTAGGACAGCATCTTTTCCATTACTATACAGATGAGATAATAATACTCTGTTGAAAACCAAAAATACGTTTATCAATGAATAATAAAAAGATTTTTCTTCTCATAGTGACAGTACTATTTTTAATATCATACTTAAGTATATACAAAAGTTTTTGTGTATTGTGAAACTCTTTGATTTCACCGCCATTTTGTCTTTTGAGACTTACGCATGCGTAGTACGTTTCTCCTTACTGCAGTCTCTATGTTCYTGCTGCATTTGTTATTCAGTGTAAGCTCTATGGACTTCGACAAAAACACTCAAAATCCAGTCGATGGTGAGTGCCTTGGGTGAAAATGAGAGCTAATAATGAATTGCAGCAAAATAAGGAAAAGTTCAATAACTTGATACTCGATATTTAATTAAAAATATGAATAATGTGGAATCGCCTCGAGCTCTAGCAGTTTTACGTAAATTACGCCATTTAGTGATTTAGCTTTTGGTACTGAGTATATGCACATTTAGTAAAGACTTGGTGGATCAAAATGTATTTATATTGGCACGTTTACATGCAATTTTACGTGCAATTTTCGCGGGGATCGTCGTTCGATCATCGCCTGATCGATCATGCCTGAAATTTAGCTGCAACTTCGCAGTGATTTTTGATCGCTGCAGTAATCGCAGGAGTGTTTACATGTACGATTTGAGTTGCGGCATAACAAAGTTGCGTTTGTCGCGCGACAAGCGCACTGCAAAAATCGCAAGTGTAAATTTGCCATACGGATCAAATTGATGTATTTGTTGTCAAGGTAAATGGACTTCACTTCTTATGGGCTACCTGTGCACTATGTGATGTACATGATAATCCAATCTCTGTTATTCAATCGCACAAAAAAAGCACTTATCATTATCAAATAGAAAAGACTTACAGCTATATAGGTTTAGGTTCGAGAAAATTCAATAACCACATTCTAAATTCGTAATATATGAATATATGGCATATATAGACTTTACACACTAATAATTCTAATTTTTGACCACAAAATTGATTATAGATATAATATAAGATGTATAGACTAAGACATTGTCCTTCCTGGTTCTCTGTTTTCCATTTAAGTCTCATACAAACTCGAAATAAGCTGACAGAAAACAATGTTTACTATTGATGGTAAAATAAAACAAAGATATCTAACCAAGCTTGCAATCGATTGCGGATATGACCAAGTTTTTTCACTGAATACAGACAAAATTATTTCAAATATTAAATCGGATCGACCGTTACATCAAAAAAGAAAAATTTCTTACCTTACAAGTCGTTTTCCACACTTTTGACGTCTGTTACTTTGACATCTTCTTTTCTCTTTATCACTTTCATGAAAAGGAGTCATTTCCTTTGAACAAGCTGCGTTCAAGTGATAAGATGCCAAGTTCTCCTTAGCATCATTAACTCTTACTTTATAAGTTTACTAATGAGAACTTGTGTTCTGATACTTTCTGGTGCTGCTGGTTTCTTTATTGTGTCTTTGTTGGGTTGATGAATGTGGTAAATCTCATTACAATGATAAGTCAATTTATTTGGTTCTGTTGGGAGAATTTTGTAATTGAAATGCTGCAGGTGACCAGTACAGGTATGCACGGGTCCCAATGGTAATTTTTCGATTCAACTTAGATTTGAAATGTCGTCGTTAAGTGCTTGTACATATATATTCAAAATCAAAAATAAACAAATAGAATTTAAGTAACTGTGTATTAAAAAATGTAGAGAAAAACTTACTGAAAACAATTTATCTTCAATAAGACAAAAAATTTGTCGGACTATTTATAGATTATAAGAGATTTGTGCGATTTCTAATATCAAAGTATAAAATGCTTTCCACTTTTGATAAAATAAGAGTCGTTCCTCAATCATGAAGATTTTAGAAACTGATATTATTACAAAAGGAACAAAAAGAAATTGTTATTTGCTGTTGTTGTGTCTACAAGAAATGTGCATTGGGCTATTTGTGTCTAGTGTCTAAATTGAAGAGGTTTTTGGTGGCGACACATGCAAAATACAACGCCCTGCTCGCGGGAATCTGCCAAACTTATCAGTGCCGGATACAGGATTTTTCAAATGGGGGTTCCTCTTTGTTTTCGCATTTTCCTAAAACGAAACTTTTTTACTGTGTCTCTCGAACTGTAGCAAATGTAGTGTGAATGTATTGAATAAAAATTCATTGTACGATGCGTTTTCATTTTATTTCATTTTATTTTATGCTTGAGGGGGGTTCCTAGGAACCCATGGAACCCCCCCCCCTGGATCCGCCACTGCTTATGCTCTTTGAACAACACAACATTTAGAAAGATAGCGTTTTCCCCTGTTTTCAATTTTATTAAATTGTGATCAATAACAAGACAGAAAAAAATGGACACACTTTTACCCATAAGCCGTACATGCGGCAAAAGAAAAAAAAAACATCCACGCGAATCCTGATATTTTTGTGTCAACACCTTTTCTTTGCATAATTTGTACGTCTATACAGTTGCGAAAGTTGGCGAAAGTGGCGGGGAAAGATTTTTTTATAGGAATTAAACTTAACAAGATACGTGTGGACGAAAAATTATCACAATTGGTAAATTATCACTGCTGTTATTGCTCAAAAGTTCTTTTTGTTCGTCTAATTCCATGGGAAGAAAGCATTTTCAACGTTCTTTAAGATGTCGGGCAGCCCCTCGATGTCTCGTTTGAATGCGTCAAGAAGCAAAGAAGTCATGTTTCGTTGTTTTATCCACTGCATTCCCTCCTCGGTGTATGTATCGCTGTTGAAGTCTTTCGTTAAAAACCTGCATCGACAAAAAAGTAGTTTTAGGAAGGTTGTTTGCACTGGCGTTTTGCGTGCGATTTTCGCACAACACTGTTGGGATTGAATCCCAAGCCCACGCCCTCTCTGGATTGTTGCTATTCATGTAAATAGGATTTACAGTAAATTTACGCTATTCATCGTTTTCAGGTTACTTTACAGCGGCCATCTTGGAGGAACTTTAACAAAAGATTTCTCATGAGTTTATATTGTTCGGTCCTCCAACGTGGCCGCCGATATTTTATCTTTTGAATCTCATGGGAATGGTTGAAAAGGATCAGTATTTACATGATATTTACGAACCGTTTGTAAATATCATGTAAATATAGTTGTGTACATTACAAATTTGTACACAATCTGCACGAAGAAACTTACAAAGAGTGTAAAAGTGCGCTAATCATGTAAATTGGATTTACATGATATATACGAGCTCTGTAAACTATTCAACATATTTCAATGCTGTCAGAGCGAGAAAAGTGTAGACGCCGGTACGAGATTGATCTCCGATCCCCTCACCATCCCTTACCTATCAGCTTCTAATCTTCGACTGGCCATTAACACAAATAAGTTAAACGAAGTTTCACCAAACCCAAACCCAGTTGGCTTCGGCTCCTCGGCTAGTGAACCAATCAACAAATCAAGTTTCTCTATATCGTTACAGTACAACTTTTTCAATGCAGACACGTGTTGTGCATTGGTTGTGAGATTCTCAAACGATTCCACCGGCTTTAGTTTCATTAGACGACGGAAGTTGTTATATCTTGGCACTCCACGTTCTCGATCTCTTAAAATATCGATGGTTGATACGTCAACTGTCTAGAAAAGGAAGTTTGGAAAATCATATATTTCATTAGTCATAAATTTAACACTGAATTTACAATAGTTTTTATTCGACTTCGTCTCACAAAAAAAAAAAACTATTCGATGGCACCAAACATGATATAAATAAAAGGATATACCGCGAGAAAATATTGTAAGTCTTTTTTTACCACAAAAAGTATTCATTGCAAGTTTTTTTTTTTACTACAAAAGAGTATTATACAATTAGATGACACTCCAAGAAAAACTAAAGAACAATCCGTGGTATGTACTTTTATTTACCACACGGCTCTTGACCATCAGAAATCTAGAAAATTTACAATTTGGATCAAAGTATTTTTGTTGTATGTTTTACTTGATTCTCGAAGGGGGTTCCGTGGAACCCATCGAACCTTCTGGACCCTGAGTCGGTTGACAGGAGAAACAAGTATGATTTTTTTTTTCAACAGAGAAGTAAATGTGCGTAGCTGTACACCTTACCTCGCCATTCTGCTGATGATTAGGAAGCTTGAGGTCCGTTAGAAACTTGGGATAGTTGTTAAGAGTCAAGGCTCCAGGATACTCAACACCAAAGGTATAAAGAATGTCAGAAAGGCTGTGTTTCTTGAAAATCTTCCTTGCATTTGAAAATGAATAATTTGGAAGACTGTAGCTGAAATATTAAAACCACAAACATTAATCGATGATGTTATGGCGCAAATGTTTAAGTGATATTTCATTTTTTTGGTGGTATTTTTTACCTTTCTTCTGTGTACTCTTTTGTCTCCATAGAGCGAATCTTGAGGAAATCAGGCAACAATGGGTGCATTCTGTACACAGATACAAACTCCTCGGTCAAGCTGAACGGTACTCCACGGAGTTTGGTCGGTCCTCCTACAAGAGACTTAATCCCAGGGTTTGAGGTTATGTTTTGAGCTCGAAGCCAGTCCCAGGTCTCCTTACCAGGACCCAATCCCCAGTTAACGCGCATTCCTGTTCTTAAGGCTTTGTTGTTTAAAATAGCTGGAGTCCATTCAATGGTGTGGATTTTGATCATTACCGCTGTATTGATGAGCCTACGATGAAAGCGTCCCAATACGGTATGTATTAAAGATACATATATGATATCAATTCATCCAATAATTTGCTACATGATTTGTTAATTACCTTGCCTTATCAAATAGTTCTTGGTCATTCAAAGTTGGATAAATCTCATATAACATGTCACATATGGCATTGTGCTCCCTCGTGAAGATGTTGTGCATCAGAGCGAGTCCAACCCACCAATTGTTACTGAAGCCTGATGGAAAAAGGTTAGATTTTGTTTTATAACTCAATTGTCTCGTTTAACCAAACAGAGCAGCTCTAGATCTCCTCATTAAACTCCTTTAACTTCAAAATGTCTATCTATAAAAAGCAATCTCGCGCCATTACTATGACTAGTAGAATGCTCTATACAGTTGTCTATATATTTTAATATATTCCCCGGCATTGAACCTTAATGGTGGCTGGAAAATCCAACTATTTTTGTGCTTAGATGAGATTTAAAAGTTACCTGTGATGTCAATTCCTGTGTCGGGGTTCACAGGCAATAGACCATTGACGTCTATTTTAAGTTTTCCTTCTTCAAAGGATCGAACCTTCTTGTTCGTCTCCACGTCGCTTCCATAGATCTGCGACAGGTCCCACCAATGGGTGACATCATTTTGGAAAGTTGCTGGCTGATCTTCACGCTTAACAAGAAATTAGAAGATTAGCTTGTGTTTGTGTGTGACTTTCACTGCGAAATAACGCGTACGATCTTTTAGATTTGCAAGCGCTTTAGCCTTCAGCTCCATCCAACATCTTAGATTCCAAGATGAACATCCAACAAACGTTAGAATATTGGGTCGCCCAACAAAGTTTCGTGGTTTCATTCATTTTGTTTACCTTATTACAGTTATCAGGCTTGGTACGTGAGACGCTCATTGAGGGCTTATGATGGCTATACAGAGGATCATTCCTCTCCAAAGGGACCTCTATTCTATTCTGGTGGTCTTGCTCGCCATGATCAAACCAATCATGAAGCATGAACTGGATCCAGCCTGCGGCTAGCAAGTTTATCTGTTTGACAGGGATGAACTCCTTCCTGGCGAGAACTCTACAATAACCATTACATAAACCAATATCAAATGAGATTCAACCAAGAAGAGCTAGTCTCAGACCGTTACAGGTATGTACAGAATGATTTAGAAGAGGCTCCCCTATATTTGCTATACGGTTGTGTGCCGCTCGATATGGTCACTTTTTCGGAGCTCCAAGTCTTGGATAGGGTATCATTTTTTGCCCATTTGTCTGGGATAGGGTAGTAGTTTTGTTTGGGATAGGGTAGTAGTTTTGTTTGGGATAGGGTATCATTTTTTGCCCATTTGTCTGGGATAGGGTAGTCCTTTTGTCTGGGATAGGTTGCAGTTGTGTCTGGGATAGGGTAGTACAGTTTTTTTTCTAGGATAGGGTATATATAGTCTCATTGTCTGGGGTAGGGTGGAGTTTTGCCTGCTGTGATCGTATATGCTAGACCACACTTTCAGCGTTAAAATAATGTACCTTTGTACCTTAAGTCTGGGGTAGGGTATGTAAAATCACAAACATTTGTCTGGGATAGGGTAAGGGTTTTGAGGGTCGTGCGGCACACCCCCACCCAAGTTGGGGAGGGAGAATCCTTTCTTGATAAGGCAGCAATTTGATATTAAATTCCCCGTTCGTTTTTGTATTGGTCAAAAAGAAGGAAATATCATTTAGCAGTTGCACTTACTCTCGAGCGATTTTTCTGGGATTTGGTTCCAACATTTGATCGTCCTCTGCAGTCCAATTCAACGGGACGTTTCTACCAAATCGATAAAGCCGACTTCCCATGGCTGGATTGTTCAGGTCGTTACATGTGCCGTCTATAGTTCTGGCTTTGCGCATACGCTCTGTGCAGTGCACTAGAAAAAAGTTTGAAGAAAAAACGTTAATTTGAAATCATGGTCATACAACGAAAAATGCCTAACCAGTCAATTTGGAGTTGAAAAAAAATCCTCTTACTTATTTTGGTCACAGTAGATACCATGTCGTATCTCAGATCGTGCGCTAAAGTAGAAGACTTATTCATAATAAACTCTATATTTTGAGAGGGTTGCACGTAATAGTCTCTAGACTAGTAAACTTGTGGCCCTATATATATTCACTCACACCCACTACCACAACAATAATTATTTTACTACACTACATGCACTACACTCCTAGCAGTTAGGAGGAGCCGACGGGTTCCTGAAAGAAATATATCTGTTCTTATATCCCAGCCAGCTGTAAGTCACAACTGGTTACCAGCAAAAAATTCAGAAAAAAAGAACTCTCCAGGCAAGGAATACTTTCTAAGAATTTTTGCTAGGAAAATAAAAAGTTCCTAACTAAAAAAACTATAAGCCTTTTTTGACCTTGATGAAGACGTTTGCCAGGAACAAAATTAGATCAAAGAAAGAAGGGCGCCACATTTTCTTGTAAGATTGTCAACAATGGAGCTCAAAATCCCTTTCCAAGGAAACAATTCATACAAGAACAGTTATTAGAAGAACAGACCCCGTCGGCTCCTCCTGAGCAGTTAGTTTTTAGTCTGACCAAGCGCGAAAATCTAAGTAGAGCATGCGCGATGTGTATGGATTATGATAAACGAACAGTACATACGAGTCCTATAGACGTTATATCTCCTCTGGCAGTATTGATTCCAGAAAAAAAACGTGTAACAGGGCGATCCACAGCAGGATCTTGAGTTATCCCGGTGCCTTGGTACGGATGAGAGGCAACGACAAAATCCATTTTTTTCGTTGTAAGCAGCATATGGTTGCTTCTTTACGTCCAAACAATGCCTGAAAAATGCAATCAATCCATCAATCCATCAATCCATTAATCCATCAATCCATCAATCCATCAATCCATCAATCCATCAATCCACCAATCCATCAATCCATCAGTCCATCAGTCCATCAATCCATCAATCCATCAATCCATCAATCCATCAATCCATCAATCCATCAATCCATCAATCCATCAATCCATCAATCCATCAATCCATCAATCCATCAATCCATCAAACCATCAAACTCTCAAACCATCAATCCATCAATCCATCAATCCATCAATCCATCAATCCATCAATCCATCAATCCATCAATCCATCAATCCATCAATCCATCAATCCATCAATCCATCAAT